TGGTTTTTACTCTCCTAGGTTCTCTTTTTAAAGGATTTTCTACAAAATTCATATAACAAATGTTACATAAAACAACATGTTACCTTCAGTAAGTTGCAGATGCATTGGTTTTACAGATCGTAAACGATATTCTGAGGGTGTTGAAGGGAAATATTGCACTGAGACAGAACACCTTGTTATTGGATATTGGAGTAGGAGTATCATCAGTTCCATTGTACCTAGCCTCCTTGCCATGATATGTTTTCGAAGTTCATCAGTTTCATCAATATCAAATAATTCAGAATGCTCAGATTTTGTGACATATTTTGTGATGTATCTTGCAAACCCAGTGGAAGTTACATATTGGAAATTAATGTGGTCATCCCATATCAATAAGGTTTCTGGGTGGTATGGAACAACCATTCTATCCTCATTTTTTGTATGACGATATATGTAATGTAATGAATAAGGTGAGCAATATGTTACATTTGATAATGGTTGAGGGAATCCTTTGGAGCATGGCTCTCCATTTGGCCCTTGACCTCCACACATTTGATTACAATGGTGTATTTGAAATTTAATGACCAATTCATGTAACTCCTTTTCTGTAACAGGGTCAGGGACATCAGCACAGATTGTATTCAAAGAGATCAATTCACTTGTCTTCCTTTCTGTGTAAGCAAAGCCATGTGTGTGAATTGTCCCACGATTTTGGAACTCATCCCTTTCAAAGTAATGTTTCCATTTTCCCCATTTTACTAATTCAGGATTTTTCCATAATTTATTTCTGATGTTTGTTAATCTATTTCAATAGTGCAACAGACGATTGCTTGGCAAAGTGTCTCCATTGTCAGTACAGCTCAGGATATGATGAAAGTGAGGCCATTTGCCTTCAGCCATAGTCAAAGTGTAAAAGATTTGGGGTAATCCATAGGCACTGATCATTGTGTTCACCTGGAGTTGTTTTTTTTTGAAGAAGGGGGCTGCAGTCCTCAGGTTTGAAGGCAGTGTTATAGTTTTTAATTCATCTAGGATGCTCCAGCTATTATATGAACTTCTAGCAATCAAATCAACCCTTGTTGGATGATGCTCCCTGTTAACATTTTGAGTGGCTAGAATACAGTGTTGATTTTGAAAGTTACGCTTTTTTTCAAGCATCAGGTATGACCAGTGAGGCCAGTACCAATGTAGACGGAATTGAGGATCAGGGCAAAGCATTTGTATTTTTATATACTTTCCATAGCTGTCCACCAAGGACTGGAGACCTAGAAATTTCTTAATGTACTCATAGTGCCCTTTTCCATTGGGGAAAAGGTCAGGAAACATCAATGCTTCCAGATCAGGATTTCCAAATAAGATTGGAAGTTTGTCATTGTTGTATTCAATTGACCCTGCTATCAACCTATTATAGTTTGCATCCTCATTGTGTATTTCTGGAGGAAAGGAATCATTGGGCACAACCAAATCAGGTGGACGAAGTGTTTCATCTGGAAGTCTGCTGTGATAAACATTGAAAGTTTGTTCATTGTCATCAATTGTTTGGCGGGCCAATGGCAGTTGAATGGGCACAGGATCTCCTGGTGAAGGGTTGGAAATATTGGATGCATACTTCCTCAGAAGAGAGTTGTTGTCTTTAAGCCACCTGGATGCACATATCAATGATTCATGAAACCACCTTGAAGGCTCATTAACATTAAGGAAAGCACCAACCATCCCAGAGTAAAGTTCTAAGGCACGATAATTATGTGTTATCCCAATTGCACCTTCCAAGTGCCTATAATTTGTGTAAGAGTTTGATCCAGAAGCACGCCCCAATGAACAATTCATGTGAACTGGAGAGAGGTATCTTCGATGAGCCATAGGAACATTCTTGATTTCATCAGGGATTTTTCTCAACAATGGTGCATATCTACGAGTCCTTGGATTTTTGCATCCATTGCAAACAGCAACCTGAGTGATGTTTCTATTGTTCAGACGTACATATAGGGATATTTCAGGAAAGGCCACTGTCAATTTATATGATTCTTCTGGATCATATGTTAACCATTTGACTGAAAGTTTTGGCATAAGCATCGAACAATAAGCACAAGGAATATTTGGATAGTCATAAAGTATGTCATCTTTGAATTTTTTTGATAAAAGTTGGAGCATTGGGGAAGGAGTCCAAGGCAAGATATGTCTGAGGTCTTGATCATTGGCATCACAGTTACCATCAGTGAAGTCATTGTTATTGCTGACATTACCAACATCATTATGACTTGCTGGAGCATTTGAAAGCTTTTGATTGATTTCATTATGATGGACATATGAATTCAAAAAGGAATAGTCTGTTTTAAATCTTTTAGAGGTGTCAGAACTTTCAACATCCTCTGAGGTGTAATTCAAGAATTGAATGTGTTGCAAATTGTGTTTGGACATGATTTTAATTTTTTAATTAAAATTTAAGGTGGGGATTTTTAATTTTTTAATTTTTTTTTCAAATTCAAAAAAGAGAGAAAAAAGAAAACGACTTTCTTAAATAGTTCTCTTTGCTTTACTGATTTGGCATTGCACAAACAATTGATGATTCACTTATATTGTTTTTAGAGCAACAATTAATAATATCAATTGTGGAATGAATTCACTTTCATTTATTTATTTATTTATTTATTTATTTATACTTAATTAATACTAATATGATGTTTTCAATTTTTTTCAAAAAAAGGATTAAGTTGCAAGCAGCAAGTAGTAAGCAGTTTTTACATTTATCTTTATCTTTCACTTTTTAAATCAAGATAATATTCATTATTAATATTATTATAATTAATATATTTCATTAATTCAAAAAAAATACATGTATAAGTATAAAAAAAAAAAAATAATAAATATATAATATATTTTGATTGTTTATTATTCATCTAGGATATCTTTGCTCATGTTATCATAAGCTTTTTCCTTACCTTTGGCATTGGTGGTATCTGTGGCAGTCGAAGCGGCTGGAGAGGAGCTTGTAGGAACAGAAATGGTGGTTGAGTAAGTTGAAGAAGTTGTTGGAGAAGTTGAAGAGGAGGTTGAAGGAGCAACATGCTTCCTTTTCTTGTTCACTTTTTCAAACTTTTTTCAATTAATTCTAGTTCTTTCTCTTCATCATCATGATTTTTATTGTTGTCTTTGTTCATCTTGGGCTCATTTGGTATCAGGTTCCATTCTATCTCCTTTGCTGCTAGGTGTTGCTTGTTTGTTTTACTGATCCTCAGCTTCCCAAGAACTGAAATTATCGACCTGCCCAGATTGTTTTTAATTGTCTTATATCTCTTGTTTTCATCAACATATGTCACATAAATTTCGGAATTGATGTTTTTGTTCTTTGACATCGGGTTATATGGCTTCCTGTTTAGGACAAAATTTCCGCCTGTCTCGTTTTCAACAAAAAAACCATTGTTCGCGACACCAGTGAAAATAATCAATGGATCTTGGTGGGGAAGGTCTTCCTCACCTTCACCATCTTTGTCAACCATGATTGTTTGGTTTAGAGTAACCTATACATATGTATAATCAAGAAGAGTTAATCAAAAAATTTTCAATTCTAGACATAGATAGTAATAATAGGGGAAAACTGCACATACATATTCGATTCCCTCTTCCATAACATATATCCCGACCAGGACAACAATTGAATGCTTGGAAAATTCAACACATTGTTCGCCTTATCATAATACCCTTTGAAGCTAATTTCTCTAAAAATGTTGTCATTTCTATAAAGAGCAGTTCCACTGATTGTTCCCTCAGTGGAAGTTACATGTTTAATGAAACAATTGGCAACAAAAATAGAACACATGTTATTTTATTGTTTATTATTGTTTTTATTATTATTTGTTTTGTTTATTTTAACGATTTATTTATTTTTTACGATTTACGATTCACACTCTACCGCAATTTTTTATATTGACGAGGATTTCCTTCACTTCAAAAAGGGCATGGTTGTTAAATAATGAATCAAATTTTCGAATTGTTGCATTTCTCTCCTTCACAATAAGCAACAGGAAAACCTTTTTGAAGAAAGCTTCATTCAATTCCTTCAACAACAACGTTTTTTTTTCACATTTTCAAAAAAAGGCGCGGTTTGATGGTTTAATTAAATTAAAAATTGAATTAATTCCGAATCATTACGTTTTTTCTTCACACTTTCGAAAAAGGCATGGTCTTTTTATTATTAGAAATAATATTTTAATAAAACAATTTCCCAAAATTGTTACATTTTTCTTCATTTCCCCCAAAAAAACTTTATTGATTTTAAAAATTAATTAAATAATTTTTTTTTAAATAATAATGAACAATCCTAATACATTCTAATATTAAATAAATAATTAATATTATTACAAAGGGGATGCCTTGTGGATTTAATAATACTTTTAGTATTATAGTTGGAGACTGGCCAGCAGTTTAAGTCTCGATTGAAAGATATCAAGTGATACAAGTTTAAAGGTACTTGTAATATAATATTTTATTAAGAAAAAGTCCTACGATATCAATAGGTATTGTATAACAATTGAAAGAGATTGTTTATTTGCGTGTTGATTACAGGAGAAGTAATCTAAAGAGCACATGTTTGGTTAGTTTTGTTACGACTTTGTTAATAGTCAGGTTTCACAGTTTAATTTGTGGTTCAAGTATAATCGGACTATATACATAGAACGATTAATTAGTGAGCTATTAATAATAGGACACAGAGTAGTAAATAGAGTTGTAATTGGACTATTGTATAATAGAACAATCGATCATTGTTCAAGAGTAAGTTGTTAAGTAATAGTTGAACTTGTTGTTATCCAAGGATGATTATTAAGTAGTAAATTTGCAAACGACACATTGCCAAATTTACAATATTTTAAAAAAAGAACAAGATGAAAAAATTGCTTCTTATGTTTTCAAAATAAATGATACTCAGACACTAGAAACATATCTAAGGAAAGAAAGGATTACCTATGAAATTTACCAAGAAAGAAAAATCACAACTAATAAAAAAACTTATTAAGAGCATTTAGCAGATTTTTTATTTAACTTTAATAAATTTTGTTTTACTAAATTTTTTTGATCATCGTCACATATTAATAAATTTATTAGAAACTTGAAATAGAAAATAATAATTATGTTATAATAATAAAAATGACAATGACAATTGTGATAATTATAATAAATGCCTGACAAGCTTTTGTATTAACATTACTTTCTAAATCAGTGTTTTTTTGTAAAAATCTGATTTATTAAATATCTATCATGCTCTTTTGTTATTAAGTTCCCATCAGTTGCACCCTCATCCCTTTGAATTTTGTCTTTCTTCAGAAAGAAAGGATATCGAGCTTTTCCCTCATAACCTGCCCAACTAAGACCAACTATCTTAATGTGAATTTTGCTACAGTTTAAATATCCAAAAATATTGTTTGCATGCATATTTCCATGTACAAATCCTGCATTATGAAATCTATTCACTGTTTTTTCAACTGCAGATTTTATGCAATCAGCTTGATTTGGGTTATTATGAAGAAGTTTGTCAATACTGAAAAATGTATCAAGGAATTCCATAGCTACGATTTTCCACCTCCTTCCAAATTATTTATTGTAATCAACTTTGGTGTTAATCCTAATTCAGAACATTTCAAATGAATATCTTTTGGATATCTCCTAGAAAATTTCACAATTGTACAATTTCCCTTACTTTCTACAACAAATACCAATTTACCATCAATCTGTTTAATATATGCGAATGAAGATATATTTCCATTATTTAATTGAAAACTTCTTAGATATGGAAAGTGGAACTGATATCTATCTCTGGAGTAACATTTTCTTTGGACAATATTCCTTTATTGCTGCAAAGATAAAAATTCTCTAAAGTTTTAATACTTGTTTTCAGTGCACGTAGTATTTTTGTGATTTGAAACATCATCCTATGGTCATGTGGAAGTAACAGAAGAGGAAGAATAGGGACAAGTGGATCACATGTAACCTTGTTTGTAAAACAGCACCAGCAATGCCCAAATATGGACCTAATAAAGTGATCCCAGATAGAATAGAATTAATTGATTGATATAGTATGAAAATAGAGGAATATACTCTGTTGTTATCAAAGAAATATCACCTGTAAGATGGAGTAAAAAGGTAGGACAGCAACTTTGATTTATGACTTTCACAGCTGAATTTTTTCTATGATGCAGAATAAAATCTGCATAATATGAAGATGCCTGCACATATGGACATCCAGCACCAAGACCCAATTCTGGCTTAATTTCAATTATCATGATTATAGCAATAGAGTTTTCACTTGAGATAATAATACTACCATCTAGGGATGGGAAATTGCATGAAAATTTCAAACTTCATGTGCATGATGCGCACTGCATCTGCCAATCTTTTTTATTTTTTTAAAAAAAAATTTTTATTATTATTAAAAAAAAACAACAGATTTTAATCACTAATATTAGTCACTGTATACATCACCATCATCATTTTCACTTCACTAACATCATCTTCCTGTTCCTCATTATCATTACCAGTATCATAGTGTTTCTATTGACATTATCTTTTGATTTTTTGGATTTTTGTAATTATAATTAAATAAATAAACACTAATTTGAAAACCATATCAGATGTTAGTCTATTTCTTTTTTTATTATGCATATATGAGGATGCAGACCAATTTCTTTCAGGTGCTGCTGAAGATGTAGGATTGAAAGAATTTGTACAGCAAGATTAGTCAGTTCAGGGGCAACTAATGAAAAATTCCCTTTACACCATGTTACCAAATCTGCTTCATCTATAGTTGACCATGCTAAAGAATTGTCAAACAAGCTAGTATGTTGTTTATAATGTAGTAATTGTGACCAAATTTTCTTGAGTCATTTGAATAATAATTTAATTTTTTGTGTGTTACATTTATTACTATGTACAAAAAAAATTACATGTGCATGATTTCAAAAATTACATGTGCACAATGCAGTGCGCATTGGAACATCTCTACTACCATCTGTAGTACTTGATTCTCGAAAGCCTACTTCCTGAAACACAGTACCAAGATATTTACCCAACATATTATGAAGTTTCTTTTTACATTTTTCTTCATCTTTGAATGTTTCTGACATAGACTGCACAAATTCTAAAACAATTGTGTATCTTCT